TTCAAAATTTTCAAAATATATAAAATTTAAAAGCAATTGTTAATATCTGAATTCGTCAGATAAATATTTAGTTATTTCCAAATTCCAAAATTATTTCCAAAAAAAAGTTAATTATTTCCAAAATGTTAGTTCTGATATTTAAATATTTACTGTTATAAATATTTGTATTCAGGGAATAAAAGTAAATTTTATATTCAAACTAGTCTATATAACACTAAATACACAAAAATTTGATTTTAAGAGCTGGGAGACTGTAGGATTTATTCTTTTGTATGATGTAAATATTTATATTGTGATTACAAATTTTAGATGTTGCAGTCTGAAAACGTAAGATCACGGTATAAATACTTCAGAAATTAACTACTAAAAGTTAAAGAGAAAAATTTATATACATAAATGAAAAAGAGAAATATGGAAAACCATGCAAATGTGTGTCTTCTTAAGTAAAATAATACGTTCTTTCAGCAAATCATATATATAAATCTTTTACTAATGATTAAAATTTAAGCTAAAATCAGGCACAATTTCAATTTGGAATTTCCGCATTTCTTTTTTGAGAGCAGAATGGTATGAAAAAGAGGTTAACAAAAGAATGAAAACATACATAATTTTTTGAAAAAATAAAATAAAAACATACATACAAAGAGAAACTTTCAGTTTATATATAACTATAAATCCGGATCACAATCACTACAATAACTTTGAATGCAGATGGTACTGAAGTCAAATTAAAAATTTTGCTATCGATCTTTTTCAATAGATTTTTAGCAACTAATTTTATTTATGACCCTCCGAGTATAAAATTACACTTGTTGAAAAAAGTCTTAAAAATGTCCAAATAAAATAGTCATAGCCCACCGAGGGAATCAAGTGGGCAAGGATCCATTTGTTCGGGGAATTTCACACCCTAATAGATATAGTAATTTTTAGTAGCGATAGAAGTTTTTCTCTTTCCTTATACAGTACATGACGTTTTTACACTTTCCGAAGAAGATATCTAAGAAGAACCCTTTTTCAAAAAGCTTAGGGTTACTAATTAGTTTTATCTTTTTTGAAGTCAAATAGTTGCTTGGATAACAATAATAAATGCAAGAGCTAGCAAAGAAAAGAAAAAATGTATCTCACTTGCCTGACAGTAACATTGTGCATGTTTTCAGGCGCTCTCCCGACTTAACAATAATATTGTCTTAAGTAGAGACTTCACACCATGCGAGTGGAACTGCAATAGTCACAGCATGCGAGTGGTGAAGTAATTCTCCGATTTGCCAAAAAGTCGCTGGATTTACTATTGCAGCTCCACAAAATCCAACACGCTAAGACAATACATCTGCTCATATCTTGGATTTCTTCATTATTCGGAGCTGTGCCTCGAAACGTGCTGAAAGTCTGGAAGTGTAATCTTAAAAATACAATTCAGTACTACACTCATGTCCATAAATTAAGGATAATTCGGAGTCACGCGGAAATCGAACTCTAAAATAAATATATCACCTGTAAAATTACTACACGCATCTTCAAGAATCATATGAAAATTTCAGGAAGTAACCAGATGACACCGATGGTACGTCACAGTGACGAGAGTGTAAGAGAGTGATATATAAGGAATACAGGCAAAGAAGTAAAATTGTTCGCAGGCGCTTTATAAGCATAATAGTGTGATAACCGAATAGCTATGACACAAAGGACGCATTTGGATGATTTTTTACGTGGTAGAATTATCGGCCGTCGTACCCGACTGGAAGCATCAGACGAACTTGAAATTGCCCAGAGTGTCATCTCCAGGCTTTGGCAACGATTCCAAGATGATGGTAATGTGAGTAGACGTTACAGCACAGGTCGCCCCAGAGTTACAACGCCGAATGAGAACCGGTATTTGGCAGTTACTGCCAAAAAAAACAGGCGGAGCACAGCCTCAGACCTGTCTCGTCCGCTCTCTTCAGCCACTGGTACGACAATTTCAAGGCAGACCGTGTACAGACGCTTAGGGCAGATTGGTCTATATGGTCGTAGACCTGTCAGATGCGTTCCACTTACTGCAACTCACTGTCGCCTGCGGTTAGCCTGGAGTAGAGAGCATGCATTGTGGACACCGCAACAATGGGCTTGTGTGATGTTTTCCGACGATTGCAGGTTTAGTTTGCAGTCTGATTCTCGCCGGACTTTCGTATGGAGAGCTTCAGGTACCTGTTACCACCAAGAAAACATCATTGAACGACACCATTACGGTGTTGCAGGAATGCTCGTTTGCGGTGGAATTAATCTGGGTTGCAGAACTGACCTGCATGTTCAAATTGGAACCATGACAAGCCAAATCTATCGGGACGTCATTCTGGAACAACATGTACGTTTGTTTCGGGGCGCCATGGGCGCACACTTTGTGTTTATGGATGACAACGCCCGTCCTCACAGTGCAAACATCGTAAGCGAATGCCTTCAATCGGAGGATATCACCCGTATGGACTGGCCAGCATTCTCACCGGACTTGAATCCAGTAGAGCACGTGTGGGACATGCTTGGCCGACGAGTTGCAGCCCGTCAACCTCCTCCTACATGTCTACCGGAACTTAGAGAGCATTGCTTTTTGAGTAGTGTAATATCTCCCAAGATCAGATCGATAATTTGATACTCAGCATGCGTAGGCGTTGTACGGACTCTATCGCATCGTCTGAGAAACATACATTGTATTAACAATCATACCAACCATGTAATATTGGTTTTTTGTAAATAGGTTTTTTCTTGTAATTTGCTACAGGAAGAAAAAATCGCTAATTGTTTTAATAATATCAAACATATAGCATTTTTTTTTGCTCTTTAGCTTTTGTTTAATAAATAAGCTTTACAAATAAGTCAAATTTGTTTTGCTTCTAACTCTTCCTTTGCTTGATTTTGCATTATCCTTAATTTATCGATATGAGTGTAATAGAGCTTGATGTATCTAGCCATAGGCTCGCCACGCAAGAAGGCCTTTATCACAACTTGGTCTGGTTTCACCAGAGGCTTAAACAACACTCCACTATTCATATCAGCACTACACACGGCTGATAAGTTAGATGACTTAGCTAAGAATTTCACTTCAAAACTTCAAAATGCTCTCAGGCTAAATAGCACATCGCAGAAAAATAGAAAATGAACTTCCAATAAAGAACTCAATCTCATAAAGAAGGGTTATGCTCCTCACAAGCAATAACAAAGTTTTAGGTATCCCGTAGACAAAACACTGCTTAACCAACTTAACCTTCAAGTCATGCTCCTTACACGCACACACGCTGACAATGACTGGGCCAAGTGCCTATCCTCTCTCTCTGTTTGGAAGCCCACTTTCAAACTTTAGAGATGCCACAACAACATTCCGCCCTTAACTGGCCAGCGAGGAATTGCTTACACCGAGGCTGAGAAAGCTGAGTCGCTTGCCGATCACTATGCTACTCAATTCTGCACAAACACCATATCCCACCTAACTACAGAAAATATGGTTGGACAGACAAATTTCTAATTACCGATCACTCACAGACAACATCCCTCTTGTCGTGCCGTCGGAGGTCTTTCGGTATATCTTCAAGCTGAAGACCTGCAAGAGTCTAGGTGCTGATCTTATCTCAAACCAAGATGCTTTATCAAGACCATCAACTCCTTTCTTCGTCTGGGTACTTTCCCTCCTGTTGGAAATCTGCTATCATCTCGTCAATACTTACACCAAGCAAACCTCCGAATGACCCGGTACCACATAGGTCGGTTAGTTTACTCTCGTCTCTCAGCAAGATTGCCGAGAACATCATCCTCCATTGGATCCTGACACATACAGAAACCAAAATCCTACTCATCGCAGAACAATACAGATTTAGAAAGAAGTCCACGGTCCACCAATTGTACACAGTTACGGAAATATTCTCCATAGGATTACAGAACAAGCTTATTACTGGAGTGATTTTTCTGGATGTTGCCAAAGCCTTCGATCGCGTATGGCTGGAGGGCCTCATACACAAAATAGACATCCTAGGTTTCCCGGGCTGAATCACTAACATCATCTGTTCCTATCTCACCGACAGGCATTTTGTCGTTCGTGTCAACCACACAATCTCCACTCCCAGACCTATACAGGTTGGGGTTCCACTAGGGTCCATTTCGGATCCATCTTATTCAATATTTACACGAACGATATCCCGCTTACACCACACATGCCCTAGCTATGCATGCAGATGACATAGCAATTATGTCGCAAAGTGCATCTCATGGCTCAGTTTTGCAAGCATTACATGTATTTGCACATCCATGCGTTGGAGTCCTGGCTTTGTGCCTGGAAGATTAAAATCAAAAATGTGTCCAAATTTGATACTGTTTTATTTACCAAAAAATAATGACCCCAACTTAAAAGTAACTATGTACAATACACCAATCCCCTAGACTATGCAGGCTCGTTATTTAGGTGTTATTCTTGATCACTGCTTCAGTTGGTGCCCGCATATCACACAAATTATTCCCAAGTTCCGTGTGCGTAAACATACCTTTGACCCCCTTAATTGCTCGTAACAGCATTCTTTCTATTGACAATAAATTACTCATTTACAAGACCATGTTGCGTCCCATTATAACCTATGCCTGCCCTGTCTAGGGTTATGCCTGTAAAACCTTCATTCAGAGGCTTAAAATTTCTCAGAATGTTGTATTTCATGAAGCGGTGAACTGCCAGTGGTTCATTAGAAAAGCGGTGAGTCACCGTGAACTTGAAATTAATTTGCACATGGTGAAACTGGCTGATACATTCCTCCGAAAAATCCCGGAAGTTAATAAGTATACCATTCCTATTTTAAACAGTGATTATAATGATAATGTGAATTAAAAAAAGCCAGTCTTGAGATTTATTACCTAACGCCTTTAGCGTGTGTACTGAACTTGCTCCTGACTCTCTTTTTGTTGTGTCGTATCACCTTGTATATTTGTATCTGTATTTGTTATAGAACTTTTGACTGTATCATGAAACATGCTTTTTTTGCAATCACTAGCATTTCTTTTCTAACTCTGCTTGGCTCTTGCTGACCACAACCCCCATCTTCACGCTGATGCTCACAGTTATTCGTACCCCAAATTGACTGGTGGCAGTTAGGTGAAGCATATCGTTCTCCGTTGGAAGAAGAAGTCATGGTGAGATATTGCTACTCTACCTACTCATGAAATACTGATATGCCATTATAATTGCTATCATCGTTTTTAACACTTCACCATCTGTTACCTGTTCAGAAACTCTAAAAGTTAGAAAATCCTCTAGTTTTGCTATACCGGGCTAGCGACTCCATGCAGACACCATCAACTGCGAATGCATTTTTGCTTGAACCAACAATAACATCAGAACAAGCCCACGAAATTCATCGTAGCAAGGAGTGCAAGAATGCTCCTGTCGCAGGCAAGAGCCTTGAGCATCATACAGGTGACAACGCGATTTCACTCTGTTCCGCCTCCAGTTTTGATAAACAGCAAACATGGTGGACGTATCTGAGGGTCTCCCACTCCTCTTCCTCTTATCACCAACCTCTCGAGAAGACTTTCAGCTCTCTATGTCTTTAGATGACTCCATGCCGCAGTTATACTATTCATTTACAAACATCCATGCCTTCTCCGGGGTTCGAATCCGGGGTCCTTCGGTACCGCAGAAGCGCTCCTTTAACCACTATACCGACTAGATGACAGCAAACAAAAAATATATATATATATATTAGTAAACACTAATACTGGTATTAGAAACATCTTTCATTAATTGAAATACTAGCAAAAATATTATAATAGTACTATAAATTAAAGCATGTGAATTTTTTCTTGTAAGTCACATCTATTAATGCTGTTATTAAGTTAACAACTTTCTTTGATCATAATAGTAATGAAGTCTGAATTAGACTGGAGAATTTAATAGAATTATGTGACGTGCAAACGATTATTTGGTACTAAAGTGTGTCAAAAATGTTCTAGAAATATTTTTTCTTAATAAAATAATAGTTTAGGAATTGGTTATTTCTTGAAAAAAATTAACTGATTTCATTCATATTGAAATGTTTTTATATATTTGCTTTTCAGGGGTGCCTGGAACTTACAAATTTTGCTTTGGCTGCAGTTTGTTTATCTGGCGAGCTTGTCCTCTTTGCCCTTTTGCATTTAAAAAAGAAACTCAGGGGAGAAAAAAGGCAGAGCTTTAAAAATTTCTTTACTTTTCAATCGAGTTTTGATGTTAGTCAATTTTTACATCTTCGATTTATAATTTGGCAATATTAAATATTATTTTTATTTATGAAGAAAAGGAAAATGCTTGTGAGAATTTTTATATTTTGAATTATTTTACACTTTTGTTAAATGTTTAACTTCTTAAAGATATTATCTTGTAGTATTTTGTATTAATAATTGTTTAGTTCTTTGTAATGTTAAATGGCAAACTTTTCTTTGAAGTATTAAACAGCAATCTTGCAGACTGTAACTATTTTACGTATTAATAACACGTACATTTTACGTATTAAGAGAGTTTGTTGTTCGCAGATACAATATAAATTCATATCTCGACATCGACACTGATGAGTGAAAAGAACGGAAAGAATTGCAAATCTCACTACATGAAACATAAGACTTTCAATTCAATTCCGCAGGTTATAAGGCATGCCAATTCCAAGGCTGCTGCATTGGCGAAATATAAAATCTTTAATTTGTTTTAAAATTTTATGTATCTATTATTAAAAAAAGCGACCGCATTTAATTGCAAAACCCTCGCTTCTTAATATTTCAAATCTTTATTTACGTTTTTTGAATAACTGTGTAATTCATATAAATTAAATAAACTTAATTATAAATTAAATGCACTTAATTTATAATACATATGATTAATTGAATTTCAAAAGTGTATTTTTTGGACTTGCGAGTGAAACATGAGTATATTAGGTAAAATGTGGATTCCTTTATATTTTTCTAATAAGATTATATAGGGTGGGCCAAATAAGACCTACCGATGTTAAACACAAATAACTTTTTTATTTTCTGATATAATTTTTTTTTCTTTTTTGTAGGTTATAATTGAATTCTTGGAAATTTATTATGGAACCATGCAGTACAAAACAACGCATTAAAATTATCGAGTTTTTCTATTCTTATCAACGATCAATTGTTATGACGCAGCGTAAATATCGGCAATATTTTAATTCAAGATCAGCTCCCACAGCCTTCATGATTAGAAGTTTAGTTAACCTTTATTCGTTTTACACAATTAGCCATACAACTTGATTTTTCAAATAATGTTTTGATGTCGGATGAAGCGCATTTCCATTTAAATGGTTATGTCAACAAACAATTGGAAATGCGTTGAAAAGAGTCAATCTCTGTATCAAGAAAAAATGGTTAACATTTGTCTGATGTCATATTTCGTACATAATTTTCATTTAATATATTTAATGTATAAAAAAATAATCAAAGTAAATGATTGTTACAAGAGTTAACCGTTTTTAACGTTAGTAGGTCTTATTTGCCCCACCCTGTATATTTTCGTAATGGGATCTTCTTTGTGCTTACCACATATCCAAAGAGTAATTCTGTTTGCTGCCGCTGTGAACTCTCCCCATTGATAATCAGTAAAGCAATTATAATATGATCCTGAATCCTTTTTAATAGTACTCACACTGAGAATATGTTAGAATTTTATTTTAATATACCCTCGAAAAGGAAAAAAAAAAAAAAAAAAAAAAAAGCCAAGCGGAAAGATTCCATATGAAAGACGCGAAGTCATTTTCACCGTGTCGACCAATCCAGTGACATAGAGCTCATACTCCAGTTAGCGATGGACTTCACTGAGCCAGGGATGCTGAGTCCCGTCTTTCCGGAAGAGGTTTTTTTTATTATTATTCTTAAAAACATAAAAATTAAAATATAGGATTTTTCAAGCTTATAAAAGTCAAAAATTTTTTAAGATTAAAATTCAGAAGAACTGTAACGATGCGATATTCAAGAGCTCGAGAAATTTCTATGAATCATTTGCATTCATAATGTATATTAATATTTTCTAATTTTTATTACAAAATTATACAAATTCAACAAAGCAAAGAAGGATTTTGCAAATGTTACGCTTCAGAAGGGAACAGGAGGTATGTCGCAAATGTACGATCAAAATATTAATTTTAAAAATGATCGGTAAATAAAATGAATTGTACTGCAATTTTATTTTATTTGAAAAACCAAGCTTCTTTAAAAAATTGTTTCCTTTAGTGTATACTGCTAACGAAAATTAAATTCTTTTCATATTTTATAAAGCATAAGCATTACAAATTATAGATTCATTGCCCATTAATTAAAAACAAAGGTTAACTTAAGAATTTAATTTTTTTACTTAAAAATTTAAGGAAGAATATGACTTAAAAATAAGTCACTTACAATTCCTTTATCGTTCATTTCTTCAATAGGAATCATTACGAGAGATATTATTAACAGGAAAATTTAATAATTAATTGTTTCGATAAGGCTAGCTATATTAATATTTGAGAGTGCTTTGTCTTAAAAGTTTTGTATTCTAAATTAAAGTAAAATACAGGAAGGGGGCACCCGGATTTGAACCGGGGACTTCTCGATCTGCAGTCGAATGCTGTATACCACTGAGCTATACCCCCACGTGCACTAATCGTGCTATATACTTAAGCATTAGTAATTTCTAATATACTTATTTAGCTAACGATAAGAAACAATGATACTGGATAATAATGCGCAACAGAAAGTAAAGGCTGCTAAAAACTTCAGAAGGAACATGCGCAGTTCCTTAGGAGGCAAAGTTCCGTGATAAAGAGAAATGAGAAAGAGAGTTTAGGTAATGTGGTTCAATTAAATAGCTCAGTATTGCCTAAAATATAGAAAATGAGACCTTAAATATTTAGCTGAAATCGCAACGTATTTTAATCTGTAAGAAAGATCTCTTAAAACAAGTGTGGATTTAGAACCATTTAACAAACCGAATTTTTAGACCGAATAAAGAGATTTTTTAAAATTACGTTAGAATTATTTATCTAATATAGTAAATGTGAAAGTAAAAAACTCATTCCACTACTTAAGACAATTTGCTAATATTTATCTAGCCTAACTTAAATTAACTAGACTTAATTTAAACTAGAAAACTAACTTAACCTGTGCTATAAATTAATATTACTACCTTCTCTCAAATCCGATAAGTTAATTATATACATCTCCTTCTCTGTTTGTCTCTCTCTCTCTCTATATATATACATATATCAGTTTTAAGTATCCAAAATTGATACACACACACACACATATATATATATATATAGTATATATATGTCTCAGCACCCAAAATCTACAACTGAAAATTTTTGTATACTCTTGTGGAGCATAAACACGTTCTGGCTCATTCTTTTAAACACTGCAAAACTATAAAATGAGTGTAAAAGAAATTCATTTATTCTTTGGTGAATAAGAGATTTTCATTTAATATTAGTTTTGTATACACAATTTTCACAATGCTTGAAAAATGAAAATAGAGGCCAAGTAGCCTCAATCAAATGTCCCACTCATAAGGATAAATGAGTTGTTGTAGCAACCATCGTCTTGAGAATTCAAGTTCTTAGAAAGAGAAGAAAAGAGAAGCAACGTCGCGCAGTTTGTGTTTTTATAGCCCAATGGGCGTTAACACAGAAATTCTATTAATTTCGTTTTAGCATTTTGCGTCGACTAACTAAAAAAGGCGAATCACTTTTCAAATTGTTGCCACCAAATATTATCGCTCTGTGTTATAATTAAAGAACTTTAATGATGAAGAATCTGCATACATAAATGTAGGTATGTTTCTCGCATTGTGATCAAACAACGGTACATAGAACCATCCAATTTTGAATAACGTAATCTTCCACCGAATATGGGCATCTGGAAGCCCAAATTTGGAATTAATTTTATTATCAATTTCATTTTTTGTAACACTTTAATGAATTTTTGGTTAACAAACTCAACTATTTCAAAGCTAGCAATGGCAACACTGTATCTAAAAAAAATTATCTCCAGCGCGCGAGACTGTGTATCTGAAATTCTAAAGATATGCTCTAAATTATTTTGCGATATTGTTGTTGAATTGAATTTAAAGGTTTAAGTGCAAAGAACATGATTTTTAATAAATAAAGGTGATCAAACGTGAAAAACGTATAAAAAGTCTCTTGGTCGTAATGCAAGAACATGATTTTTAATAAATAAAGGTGATCAAACGTGAAAAACGTAAAAAAAGTCTCTTTGGTCGTAATGCAAAATCTGAAAGCTTTCAGTTTTTTTTTTTTTTTTCCCTTTCTTCTTTTTACTCTTTTTATATTAAGATGGGGAAAAATTGGCTGTTGTTCGTTGGTGTCGAAGAGTGAGCACATGCATAAGGGCTTTCCTCAATTAAATTTCCATGGTATGGTAGATACTGTCAAAATGACATTTTAAATGGTGTACTTTATACATTAAATTTACTTATACAATACTGAAGATAAACGAAAGGTTATATCTATTTACCACCGATGGGCACCAAGTTCAACTTATCGCACACTGGATTTTTATCGAAAACGAAAACAGGAACATACAGAAGAAACATCTTTATATTCATAAAAATGAGGAAAATATTTTGATTTGTTAATTAAACAACAAAATGTTGCGACACTTGTGAAAAAAATTTTTTATTTGATTTCTCCAGATCAAGTTTTGCAGATTTCATGTTTTTAAAGAATTAGCTGTGACATAAAAGGCTCCTTTTGTTATAAGATATTTTGCTTAGGGATTTTTTCTTATGGAAAATAGGATTATTATTGGACATAATAGCTGTCATTCTCCTATAGATGTGAAATTAATTTAGTAAGTAGTAGCCCAGATGAAATGTAAAACCCTAATCATTTAACCTATCGTATAGCCGATACCGATTTAAACATAACTACGACAAATTTGATCAATTTAATATGATATTTAGAGAATCATATTTGATGCCTATTTAGTACACTCATTAATCATGACATATTTGATGTCCTTTATAATCAAGATATCACGTTAAATTAAGCTTTGAATCTCTATTCACTAACGGAAACGTTAATGTGAACTAACTAAATTATGGATTAAGTAAATTAAACTACCAATCGAAAGCAGATTTTTTGTATAAGAATGAAGAAGCTTCTTACAGAATCCTGGCCGACTGCAAAGTTTGCTTTCTGAATAATGCATATTAATGGAAACCCAAGTGACGAATCTTCTAAGAGTGAAAGTTATGCAAGTAGTAGCAGAAATTTTACAATTAAAATCACTTAAATACTTTTATATTGAAACGTCGCCATTTGCGATGGCTAGACTCTGGCTTGAAAGCAGTTCGTCAACAATAGTCAAAACCATTGGTCTCTAGTGCCGTTAGACCTACTGATGTAAAACGCAATAAGAAATGTTTCCGAGGAATGCATTTCCCAAATTACTATAAATAGTACGTTCTGTAACTTCGGGGAAAATGTTACATTAATGGTTGTTTCGCGTACGTACGTATTTCGAGTACTTCAGTCAAAACTCATTTAAAATTTCATCCATTGTCTGATATCAGTTTCGTTTGATAATGAACTACTACAATAAAATTTTGAAGTTTAGCAGCTTTTAATACTTATACCGAGGTTTATGAAAAATTTTTGTTGAGATTTACCCAGTTTTACTGAAGTATAGCTTCCTTATGAAACTTTTCGTAGGTAAAATGGTGTACAGCAGTTATCATTAATTTAGATGAAAACATTTGTTCATATTTTTTCTTTTTTCTCTTTCCTTTTCCCTTTCCTCTCTCTCCTTTTGTTTTTGAAATAAGTTATTAATTTTTCTTTCCAGGATTTTAAAGTATATACTTGTGACACTTTATTTTTGAGTTTCACTGGCAGTAAAATCTTTGCCGTAAACTTCATTTTATTATTAATTCACTCAGTCCAGAGATTTATGCTGATTTGAATGCCAAGGGATTTAGTATAAAAGTGAGGAAATGATTTCGTAACCGTAAGAGTTGTAATAGTTTGAGATTTGGTACAGGGCTGTCACGCTTGCCTGTTATTCAGAAAATTCTTTTCGGTTACTTAGAAATAGCCCTTTATTGCATTTTATAATACTCAGCATTTTATAGTACAGTATAAATATATATATACTCATATTATAATTAATAAATATACTCAACATTTTACGATACATTGGGCTTAATTTTATAATACAATATAAGTTATACATTTATAATACAAGAATAATTCAACGTAAGTTACAATAGGTTTAATTTTATGATAAATTTTGGGCACTGTTAGTTTTCATACTCTGAAGGCTTTTTTATGTATTTATAGCTTATGTGAGCTATATTTATGGTATATGTGGTTATATGGGCTTCAGTAAAATTGTGCATAATGAGTATATACATAAATTAGTAACATGATAAGGCATTTCAAACTCGGGTGTAAATCCTGAAATTTGTAATCGAGAAACATCTCTCCCAAGTTATATCCTACCTACTGGACCAGACCATGTATTTTCGTCTTTACATTGCTTCAAGCAACGTAACTTATGATCTGTGCCCTTATTTTTTCACAGCACTGATGTGATATGCACTGATGCATATGTACTTATAAAAGATAAGAAACTCTCCGAAAAGCTATGTGTGAAGGAAATGGCTGTAGAGATCATTTTAGTAACTGGGCTTTGATCGCTGCTTAATGTTCCTATTTCATTTATTCAGTTTTCTTCAATATACTGTACGCTTACTGCCCTAAAGTACATTAATTAGCTAAAGCAGTAGGGCATTTTTTCAGTCATGTTAAAAAGAAGCCATTTATTTAATTACATTGAACCTTTGGCAAAACTACTTTGGTCCGCTACTGAGTATTGAAAAATCATCTAAAACAATTTGTGTTTTTAATGAAATGATTGACGCTTTAAAAGGGATTTGCTAGAATTCTCTTATTTTATTGCTAAATAATAGCTACAGTTAAATGAAAGTGTGTGAATAACTACTAAATTATAACAACGTTTTTCAATTTTGTAGGTATTTCGTTTTGAAACTTATGAAGAAAAATGAAAAATCAGACCATCAAGTTCATAATAGCTGACTGAGTTGTCTTCCGGTAAAAAGGTATGTGCAAGAAAAGCTTTTTAATGCAAGACATATTTTAATGATTTTTAAGCAATTATGCATTACACATTTCGTTTGAAAGGAAAAGCAATTTAGCATTTTGATTTTTAAGCAATTATGCATTACACATTTCGTTTGAAAGGAAAAGCAATTTAGCATTTTGATGCAAATATAGTGAGCCAAATTTTTATTTCTTCTTCAGCGTCCCCACTGTACTGATTATTACACCCTGATAATTTCACATATACAATAGCTAATGCTTTGGTAGTTTAAAGTCAAATAATGTTCATCAGACATTGGTCTTGTTTGTTTTTATATGATTATGGCATAATACTCGAAAGATGTCTGCCTAAGTCGGAGGGATGCCTTCGTAGAGAACTTTCTACGAGAGAATGGCTACTATATATACATTATGCATGGATAAAGCCCCGAAAACGCCCTTTAGCCAGCTCGTTCCCCGATATTCGAACTCCGAACTGACCTACTAGGGATTAACAACAGCTCGGCCGCCTATTAACTGGACAAGTTACGTCATTCCTCTGCAATTCTTTAGCCATCTGTAGACTGAACGCATTTTAAAATACGGCCACTTTACTTACAATTCAAACACCTATTGCTCGAAACTAGAAATTACTTTCAGCGAAAGGATGTAATATATTGAACTTATAAAGTCTATATGTAGCTTTTGAGTATTGCATTCCCGAATTACGTAATGGAATGGCTAACATATGAGCAAAGTAAAGTATGAGCATCTCAAGTAACTTTTGAAATGCACTGTGATTGATTGTTCCGTCATAAAATCGATATGTATTTCAATTACCCAAACTTTCTGTTAATGAATGAAATAATGAAAACATTGCTTTAGGAAAAAAAGAGAAAGAAACTTTATGCAAATTCTTATTGAAAAAAAAATTATAACCTTAAATGTTCTTAATAAAGTCTTTTCAAAATTGTTGAACAATTACCACTCATTCCTCCTTCACTAGCGCATGAAAAAGTGTTAGCAAAGCACGAAACATAAGAACTTAAGTTTATCTTTCACTTCGCCAAGCAAATAAACAGTTCTTAGAGTGCTGCCGTTTAATAAAATATAAGATATTTATTTCTATCATACATTTCAGATTTAATAGATTTTTATTTCCTTAACAAACTAAACTCTTAAAAAAATTAACGTATTCATTATAATTAGCTCAAAGATGCAATTTTCCAGAATGACTATTAATTTCGTTTTTGCATTTTGCATCATCCACTGTAAAACGGCGATTCACATTCCAAATTGTTGCCACCAAATATTAGAGCCTTGCATTATATTTAAAGAAATTAAGTAATGATGAATCCACATGAATGTATAACATACATATATGTTTCTCGCACTGTGATAAAACAACGGTACTTAGAGCCATCAAAATTTGAATAACGTAATCTTCTATAGAATATGGGCATGCGGAAGCCCTAATTTGAATTTGAAATTTGTTTTATTATCTATTTTATATTTTGCAAAACTTTAACGAATTTTTAGTTTACAAACTCAATGATACTAATTCAGAAGTCAAACAACAAAAATCAGCGTTATACCTACAAAATTTTCACAGGACTAGTTTCGATGGTTTTACCGAACCATCATCTCCAGCTGCAAAACCGCAAATGAACAAGATAGGAAATAATGATTAGATAAGATAAGAAAGCCTGGACAAGAATAAGCAAGTGGCGCCATCTGTTGGCGAAACCAGAACTAAAACATAATTTCTCTAAAAGCCGAAGGCAAATTTGGATTGGAATTAGGATCGTTACTAGAACAGAAGATTTTTATGAATGTGAAATGCCTCTAAAACCAGTTCTCAATGGAAGATGTTTTTTGAATAATTTTGGCAGCAGAAAATTGAAAGTGTGATTTTCGGACCAACAATGTTGAGCAACAGAAGACCTCTGTGTTTCCTTTTTTCTAAATATGCCTCATGTTCTTTGACGCGAAAATTTTAAGGCTCTCTAGTTTGGCCATGTAAATTAAACCACACTGGCAAGGAATCCTATAAATACCCCAGGAATTCATATCCGGAATGGGGTCCTTGAGTATAGAAGTGGGAATTTTATTGAGGGAGAATAAACAACCCGAAAGTTAAATTTCTGCAAAATATGTGCAACTTTATAGCTAATTGAATGGAAAGAAGGGAATGACAACAGAATTTTTATAATCTCCTAAAATAAGAGTGTGCCTTTTAGTGTGTTCAGATGAGAATTTTTTAACTGCTTGATTAATAATGTTGGGTGATGATGGTTCGGTAAAACCATCGAAACTAGTCCTGTGAAAATTTTGTAGGTATAACGCTGATTTTTGTTGTTTGACTTCTGAATTAGTATTTATTCAGCGTGTTATTGTGTCTTAAACTCAATGATTTCAAAGTTAGCAATGACAACACTGTACAGGAAAAAAAAAAAAAAAATTTATCTTCAGTGCTCATGACTGTGTATCGGAAATTCTAAAGGTATGCTCTTTTTAAATATTTCCGTTGAACTGAATTTTATGGTTTAAGTGTTTAAGTGCGAAGAACATTATATTTAATAAATAAAAGTAACACACAAACCGGTATCAGAAAAGCGCCCCTTTTCAAGCAATATAAAATCTGAAAGCTTTCAAGAAAATTTTTTAAAAAAATATTTGTCTCATTTAAAAAAAAAAATATATATATAACTGAAATTATTTGAAATATACTTAAATCAGGATGTATCTAACTGATTATTTTTATGAACATTTACTACATCATTGTAATTACAGCAACAAAATGTGTATACATATAAAAAGGTCATACGATATGTAGTATCTCGGTATAACATTTCCATTCGCTTTTTTTTTTTTTTCCTCAGCACATTTTTTGGAAAAATGTAAGGAAATGTAGATCAGTTTTGCTTCATAGGAATCAAACTTTTTGATTTTTATTATTTATAATGGGAATAAATTTTTCCTAAATGTATGCACAGGGACCGGAGACCCTAAGTTCACGGTCAAGGTCGCAAAAATGAAGACCATAGTTTGAGATTTGTGGATACGATGAATATATATATTATATATATATTCATTGCATCCACAAAAAGTAGAAAGTAGTTCGCAAACAAAAGAGACCTATGTGGTCAAGAATTTTGCGCATTGAGCTGCAAAATTTTAAAATATTTGCAAAGAAGAGGAAAGTTCTAAAATGCTATTGCTTAAAAGTACAATTAATACTGCAGTTCCTAAAATTTTTGATTTAAAATTTATTAGTTTTTTCTTATACTTTTTTGTTTTTGAAGTTTATATCGTTTTGTAATTTTTACATTAAGTTTTTACGCGATAACTTTTACTTTTTTAGTATTGTAGTATTGTTTATACATGGTGTAACTTTTTGACTCTGGAACTGCAGTATGAAATGTACTTTTAAGCAATAGCTTTTTAGAACTTTCCTCTTCTTTATAAAACATACATATATATATAGATATATAGAGAGAGAGAGAGAGAGGGGGGGGGGAGGTATTAAAAAAGTCTTGGACTGCTCAGCACTCATAGCTTCTAAATTGTCTGAGAAAAAAAAAATCTATCTAAGAAAGCAAAATGTGTGTGTGTGTGGTGGGGGGAAAGTATTGCAATCCAAGTTTTTTGTGATGATTTCCAAAAATGCAATTAATTCAGGTTATGATTACTTTCCAAAAACCATCCGTTACGTTCCTGTAATTTATAAGGTTCTGTTGTAAGTTTGAGTCAGTGTCCTGCAGATCCTACTAGACCAGAAGCGTGTTAGCGTCTGTGATAAATGATCAAATTTTAAGAATGTTAAAAGAACCCTTTTATTTAATTTTTAAACGAACAGAAAGGCACTGCTTGTACGATAGACGAACCTCCGTTACTTGCGGGTATTTAAATTAGATTAGGTTAGGTTAAGTTCAGTGGCTACCATTTATTTAGGCTGAGTAAGTAGCTATAAGCTCATCGCACTAGCTATCCATATACACCTTCCTGGGGCCTTATGGTGACGTTCTGGTGCCAAGGTCCTACTGTTGTCTAGTGCAACCGACATCGTAAGCTCTGCCAGCACTGGCGGTGTCACCGGTTGTCCTGTCATATATCCGGATCTACTTTGGCTGGTGGAATGGCATAATAACTGACATTTAAATTAAGATGAAATTAAATTCAAAATATAGTTCACACCATGGACTACACACACCATGGACTACTTAAGTTGCCAAAGATGTTTAGCGGCGCGTATGCTGATGTGTTCTAGCTAGGTGCTAATGTCGGAGATAAATTTAAGCAGAATTGGCGAGAGTAAGTAATAGCAAGGTTAGACGGGCAGAAGAAGTTCTAACACTAAATATTCAAACCCTTAGCTTGAATACACAATAACTAATTTATTTGCATTTTTCTAAGAAATACAGAAAGAGGAAGTTATAGTAAAGGCCAAATCATAATAATTGGTTATTCAACAGTAAACCTTGCAAATTCTCTAGACATATTTCTTCCGTGAGAAATTTTCTTCTGCAAGATGACAGCAGAAATAGTTTAAATGAATTCAGCTGTTAACGGCATTACTTAGCCAGAAATAATTTCCTTATTAGTGGTCTAATGTAAGTTGTCTTTTTAATTTTACCGCTTCCATAGAAAGACACAGGTGTTAACAAATGGCTGTCTGTACATTACTGCAATGAAAAGACCCGTGCAGGGGAACTGCAATTAGTAAATTAATAAATAAGCCCTTTGCCTGTAAACAGAAATGCGTGTGCAGAGTGTATACACAAAGTTGATATATGGGGATAATATATGTGTAAATGCGAAATGTAATAAAACGAGAATTTAGCAGAAAGAAAAATGTAAATATAAAATATAAAATAGTACCCTGAATTCAAGAAGCGTCGTTATTGATTACTGAAGTTATTGAAGAAGAAAGTAATCATAGTCACGTGATAGGTCCCCTCGCAAGCGGTGTCTCTGGCGAATACTGCTTGAAAATTGCGATAATACAGAGTATAGTGTAGCTGGAAATTGAAAGCTTTGAATTTAATATTACCGTAGCAGGAAAAATAAAAGCCCTGAACCAAATGTTATGCAACGGCAATTAACTGGAGAAAATAAAATAAGAATTTTGGAATAAAATATATAATATTTCATTCTGAAACAGGTGATGTCAGTTACGTGAGAAGTCATCCTCCCTAATGCAGCCCCGGCAAATGCTGCTTGGAAAGTGCAAGGTGCAAAATATTACTTACCTTTGAAATTAATTCTTTGGAATCACTGTCCAATACGATCGCGAATGCTGTTGGTGATGAGATGGCCAAACAACCGAGAGGTCCAGTTATATACGATGAATCTTTTCCAGCAAAGATTCAGCGCTGGCACTATGAAGTCTTTTGATTTTACTATTATTTATGTCACGTAGCTTATTTTTATCCTTAATCCTAAACTTAAGATGTTGCTATTAAATCCTTATTTACTAATTATTGTTGTAACGAATGTGTAGAGGTTCAGAATCTACAAAGGCTCTGTTGGTATTAACTTGATTTGTGGTTTCATGTAGTTAAAGTGTTTTGGTATTCATAAGTTTCCGTGTATTGTGTAACTCCAGCTGTAGTCCAAGGATAATAATACATAGAACCCATTTTTGGACAGAATAACACATTCTTAAATTATGATAAATATTGCATTTTTATTTTCTGTACTGGATTCCTACCGGATTTACAGAAGTCATAGGATTATTTTACACTGAAGAGTGTCTGATACTATTAAAACAAACAACCAAGGGGGGAAAAAACTGAAAGCTTTCAGATTATATATTACGCCCAAAAGGACTTCTTTTTATTATTTAAACATACATACACGTATTATTTACACATACATACACAGCATTTAGGCTAACGCCCCTTTCGGCATATCTGTAGAATTTACGATAGGCAGATCGTGCCCTGAAGACACAGAAATGTTATAGCCTACAGTGTTACCACTGGTGGCTTGGAAATCGTTGAGATTTTTAATCAAAATTCATTAAGCATTACAAAATATCAAATAGATAATAAAACAGATTCCAAATTCGGGCTTCCGGGTCCTCATATTCTGGTGGAGGACTACTTTATTCAAAATTTGATGGCTCTAAGCACCGTAGTTTTCTCACAGTGCGAGAAACATGCATACATTCATGCAGATTCTTCATTATTTAATTTCTTGAAATATAATACAGGGCTGTAGTATTTGGTGGCAGGAATTTGAAAAGCTATTCAACGCTTTTAGTGATTCAACGCAAAATGCCGTTCCGAGACTAACAGCCTTCCTGAGCTAACGTCCTTTTGGGCTAGAAATAATTCCAGCTGTTTAAAACAGAAGCTTGGTTTGTGATTATCAGAATTAGAAACTAGAAGAAGAATAAAAAATATGAGAATGAAATACAATTGCTAACAAATGCAAATAAAATTTTTTATTTAAATTTAAACTTCTAGTACACCTACATGTATAATTTAGATTTCAGTACAATCACGTAAACTTAAAAACATTTGCGTGCTGTTAAATTACGTCAATTAAAAGAGTCGAGGATTATGAGAATTCATTTGCATAACTGAAATCGGGATTCACCAATGCAATAGGAACCAAACTTATTTATTCTAAGTCAGCATCTTTGTTTGCAAATGATATTCTACATTTATATGAGAAAACATGCGTTATAAGGCGAATAGCAAATATCAACTTCGAGCATTGTCCCAAACTTCTTCGTTATCTAGGATAACGATACATTTTAGTAGATATTTGTGAAAAATTTTCATCGATTGGTAGTTAAAGTCTGTCTTCTTGCTTCTAAGACGGTTCCTTTTCTATCTGTTGACAATAGAATATGTTCATTCATCTTTGCTATTTTCTAGTTAAACGAAGTGTATGCCACTACATTTTAATACTTGAATAATAGTAATATGCAGACCGTTCCTGAGTGCTAGTTGTAGTGCAAGAAATCAATTTCCGCATGGGACAGAACCATTCCAAACTTAATTCTGCTATTACTTCCCTCACTGTCTATGACAATGACATCAGAATAAGACCATAATTTTGTCATGGCTTGGAAGCGCAGGACCGTAAGTATGCGCCTGAAGTGGGCTTTGTGTGTCTTTTAAATTTCGGCTTTCCGTAGGTTTTTAAAAACTTTTGAAGCAAAGACACTTATAATTACCCAAGCCTCCAAAGCAACAACCTTGTGTTTGGCGTAGGAGCCTATCGATTTCGAGGGCAAACAGGTACAAATCTCTCTTCATCAGGAGCTAAGAAATCTTTGCTTCTGATGAATCTTGCTGATTTTTGTTCCTGGCAGATTTCTTTGCTCCTGACGAAGAGGGATTTGTACCTGTTTGCCCTCGAAATCGGTAGGATTCTTGACTAAAGCTGCGTCAAACACAAAGATGGTGCTTTCCTAATTTTATCCAAGCCTTCTTCAGGATTCGAACCCAAACTCGGCGATACAGCAGCTTGTTAACCTCAGCATGCTAAGCCAATTAGGGTGACAAAAACGTAATTCTTAATAAACACGCAAGAAATGGAGTTTGAAATTTTTCCATATAACCTATTGTAAGACATAACTATTTTCAAGACGCGGGAGATAACTATTTTATTTGTGACACTAATGGTATATAGTAACATTTTAAGAAAAGAGATAAAATGACTTTTTAACTGATTATATATTGTTTGTGCAAAGCACTTTTATAATGAAAAAAAAAAAAAAGTGAAAAATCTTATGCTTTGTTGCCTAGCACCGACACTTATTTATAACGGGCGGGATTTTATCATTGACTGGAAAATAGTAAAGTGGCTTTAAGGTGCTAATAAATTTCAATGTAAAATATGCATTAATGGAGTTTTCAATATTAACACTGAATTTGATATTCAAAAGATGAATCTTACGGCGGCAGAAAAATTCAATTAAGATTTATGCCTATTTTTTAATATTAATGAATACAGTATATTGTAAAACATAATAATCATTTTAATCGATTGAACTGACTTATGTCAGTCAGAAATGAAAGTTTGCTATAGGAGAGGATCTGGATAAGTTCTCAGTTACCTTTACGAAATGGGGTATTTAAAAGTCTCATTGATCATTGATAGTCTCATTGATAGTTTCATTGATCTCATAATCATCTATCTCATTGATAGTCTCATTGATTCTATAGTTTGTCCAAGAGGTTAAGGGTAGGAAAATAAAGATGCAAAACCTTTGGATTCCACATCTATGAGGCTTTCAATTAATTTTTGAATTAATCTAACCTTCCTGTCCTTTGTCGTTTCTAAGTATTTCAATCAATTCCCTTAGAATTGCGGCAATTTTCTTCATAGTGTAAAATTTGAGTGTTGCTCTTTTTAAGTCGATTTCCACTGTCTTCATAACATTTTACACAAAGTCTTCTGTACTCAGATAATTTCGAACATCTTTTTATTTTTTACTTTTTAAGCATAAGCTCTGACGTTTATTTGCATTACTAGCAGTTCATTTTTATTTGGCAGTTTGATAATAACCAATTTCATTTCGTTATGCTGAACTTTTAAATAAAATTTATGATTTTTGTTATCATTTCTTTTTCTCAGTTTGGCACTACTGCACGGCTTAATCGAAAAATAAATACGATAGGTCCAATTAACGTTCCACTAACTATTTTTACTTTTTAGGTCTAGAATCTTTATTAGAAAAATCGTATATTTTGTTTTTAATTGGTAAAATTTATTTTAAAATTTTTACCATCAATCTGTTTCTTTTATCTTTGCATTAATGCCCAGCAATGAGAGTACACAATATTGGCAGTTCCATCCAGTTTCAAATCCTAGCTAACAGTATTTAAACTGGGCATGGGCATGGGATTTGTAGTTTATCTTGTGTGTAATGTGTTTAACGTCAATCCAGTAAACCTTAGAATGGCCTTTACGAAGACATTCCTCTCGTTAGGCGGCCTACAGCTCGACTTATCAGCTTACACTAATAGGTCGAGTTTTATTAAAATTATGGCGAAAGGCAGAATGCATTAAGTTTTTCTTATCCATAAGAGCTCGCTTCCCACAGCATGTAAATGAATGTGCAATATGACTATGAGTCAGTTTCCTCAGGAAGTCCTCTGTGAAAGCACCTTCCCCGTAGGCACTTCCCCGTTGCCATAAATTAATCCACCCAATTGAAAGTTACTGTATTAATTGATTTATTTTTACATATATAGCAATAATTTTTCTCAGTGCAAGATATGGTTTAGCAAAAGATAAATAAGGCAGCTTTTATGTACTGTACTGTTTAAAAAATTAGTTTCATGCCTGAAAATATGTCCGAAATTTTCTTGAAAAATTTTCTACAAACGTACTAAAATTGTTTTAAAAAACATTCAACTCTTGCACAAGTCTCGTTCGAAGTTTCCGGAAGTCGAGGTAACTTCTGGGAAACTTCTCAGTTAGTGAATGCATTTCTACTTCTTAAGTGTTGCAAAAATAGATCTTATAATAAAAAAGTTTCATAACTTGATATAGAATAAAGGAAAAATCGAATCTAGATTTTCTTTTTTGCTCCCTTCTTTCTAGGATAAGGAAAATTTTTGGGGCGTGCAGTGATGTGAAGGCGGAGCCGTAGGGCGTTGACGTCACTTTCACAAGCGGCGAATGGTTGCCATGGAAACAGAGATACAGAACACAGCGCCCTCTCCTGGGAAGCGACCGACATAAAAGCTTTCTTCTGTAGAGATTTTTTACCTCTTTCTATCTGATTTCTTTAGTCCGTTTACTGACTCTCATAGGGGTCGTATGCAAATTTATGAAAAGTCGAAGAACTCTTAGCCATGTAAAAGTTATCTGTCAGAAAATTCTGTTAAAATTTTGAAAAAAAAAAAGAACACTTCTTTATTGAAATACCATGCATTCGATAGGTATTGTACATTAAATTAAAATGTATAGCCTTTGAGAAAAATGTTTTGTGCTATGCATTTTTTCTGAAAGACTGGAAAAAAGTTGAGAAAATGAAAAAGTACTTAATGAAAAATAATCAAATGTAAATAATCAAAAATGTTAATTAGATTCAAATTTATGCATCATAATCACGCACTATGGCAAGATACCGTTTTCAGACTAATTTTTTTTCATTTTCGTTATCAAGAAACACAAATGGTGAGACTAATACAGTGCCTATAATAGAAAATATGAGTTCCTAAAAAGTCGCGGAAGAATATTAACAACTCAAAAATATTTTAAAGTCTCAAATATAATTTACAAATTTGTTTATTTAGCCGATACTTTCTCTTTCTTAGTTGTCAAGTAAATACGATTCAGTGGGATATATATATTAATAGAAATGTTTAATTTTCCAATCATTACGTGATGGGTGATTCTTCATTTTATATTGCTTTAGGTAAATTTGTTTTAGGAAATCAACATTATTTTTCTCAGCTAGTCCCCACCCCATTTGCAAGTTACCTATTTTTAAAAAAGGTTTTATTGAAAATTTATAAGCACCATTTAGGAAGCTGGTAGCTTAAATTGTGTTTTTTAATCGAATTAAAAAACAAAGGCATTATATTTTTCTTGCTAAAATTTTAAATTAAAACATGCATTTAACACCGGTTCACGACTTCCCGAGTTAATTAAAACCAAGCAAGTAATGTAACATATTTATGAAAACTGGTTTTGTGTACTAGTTTTCAGAAGTGCTTTCTCCCTGAAGAATTATTTTATTTTGGAAACAACAAGCTACTAAATAAATAAGACAAGAGTTAAATATGTAATTAAACATTGCATTTTGGGAAACGTATTTATTTTGTAATCATTAATTTTTCTAATTCAGTAAAAAGCTTTACTTTCTATGGTTTATTTTCATTGACACTTTTTTAATGTTAATTCTTCTCTGTGCTTTTTATCGGTTTTTTGGGGGGGGGTCAGCCTTCATTATACTGCAAATGAGACTGAATTTAAAATGCGAACTAATTAGTAATTTAGGCAAGTGTAGTAGCAGCAAAATTGTTTATCTTCAGACATGCAATTGGCCAGCATGTGTATATGATAAGAGAATTTTGTGTTTGTTAAGATGCAGAGCTAGAATACACATTGGCTGGGTGGAATTCTTTAATCATAGAATGATAGTTAGTTAGTTGTATATTGTATTTATTTAAATATTCGAGTTATTTAAACACTGCAAGCAGTGCTGGTTAGTATTTTTTTTTTTTTTTTTTTTTTTTTTTTTTTTTTAATTTTATACGATATTAGAAGACTTAGTTTTTCATAATCCTTTCAGTTTAATCCTTTGCCTGTGTTTGTAGTTTAGTTAAACTTATGTTTGGTGCGAAGACGAAAATTGTCAGAACAGGAGATGATTAAACAAGTTTAATTAATTGGACTATCAGGTTTAGCAATGTCACAAATTATCGAAATTACGCAGAGAAATAATTTTGAATCACATAGTTTGAAAACAAATCATTTTATTTCTCTTAGTACCCTTTTTTACTTGTGTCATTCTATTCTTCTGTTCCTATTTACACAAAAAAGAAGAAAGAAAATAAATAAATAAAAATGATTCTGCAACTCTTTTTCGACTGAGATGACTGACGAAAGTTAATTTGCGTTTTTCATATCTCGAAATTATTATAGAATTAAGATATATATTACATTTATATATAGTGTTTTTTTTAACATAGATATTTTGACACAAAACCAGACTTTGTCTGAAATTACAAATTTTTTCTCGTATTAAGATTTTACAACTCAATCAAGTTATGCCAAAGTGCCAAGTTGTGTAAAAATCACGCAAGAAGTTTTAAAAAAATCATCTCTCAAAATTTAAGCTGCTCAAAGTTAGTTAAATTTCGTATATATTTCTTAACATCTCTTTTTTTTATTAAACTTACTTGATTCTTTCTTTCGCAGTTCGAAATTTAAGTTCAATCCAAACAAAATTCACTAAAAGTTTCTGATTTATTTTAGAAATTTTTACTTTTTAGTAATTTTTGTAAATTTTTCCTAAAACATTTTGAACCACTTTGCTAAAATTAGTTGAAAAAAATTAACCATGTACCATTTTTTCCATTCTTGCACAAGAGAACGAGAAGGAAAATATGTTACCATAAATTAAGGACTTCGTCAAGTGAATCATTCTTGGAGCAAATTCAAAAAAGTGCACAAAGATAAATTTTTAAACTAATCTGTAAGTTTCTCACCCAGTATTATAAAATTTAATATTTAGGCATAATTTTTGTAGTAGAATTGAAATATGGGAAAAAATCGCTATATCATTTCAGACAAAGTTCGATTTTGTGTCAAAGTAAATCAAATGTACTCATTGAAATATCATATATAATAATATAAATTCATGGATTTTGTTTAGAAGAAAAAACTTTTTCATTAGCAATTTCGTGTAAAATTTCTTTCAATTCGTTAATTTGTTATGAAACACAAACAAAATGACGATTTTGCTTTCCTCGAAAATAATTAGTAAATATATTAAGTATGCACACTATTTTTTCCTTACAATGTACTTTTTCCCGAAATATGCTCAGCATTTGTTTCTAAATTTGCCTTTCAGTAAATAAGTTTTATAATGTTTAATTATCAATTGCAATCAATCAGAATTAAAAGAAATAATGCAAAGCTTTAGTACTTACTTAGTACATTCAGTATTAGTTACAGTTCTAGTTCAGCTCCCTGTGTGGTCTTGCGTTGTCGTCCTGTAACAAGAAAGCATCACCGATTGCCCCGGCATAAGGGCGCACATGAACATCAAGGATCTCAACTCTATAAATCTGAGCATTCACGGTTCCCCTTGGAAATACATGGAGGTCTATGCGTCCATCCAAAGAGATGCCACCCCAAACACAGACACTGCCCCCTCCGTATGCGTCTCTTTCACGGATGTTTGACGGATGATAATGGGTTATAGGTTCTCTCCATGTCAAATAACGCCTACTATCATGTTCTGGACTAAACCTGGACTCATCCATAAAAAGAATAGCCCTCCATTGCTCAGGCGTCCAGTGGACATGTTGTCGTGCCCACTGCAAACGATCCCTCCTGTAGCGTGACTTGAGCAGCACGTAAATGGTTGTTCGCCTCGCAAACAGACCACCTTCGTGAAGCCTTCTACGCACAGTTGACGTTGACACCAACCTTCCGGTAGCTGCAGCAATGGAAGATCTAAGAAAAGTCGGAGTAGCGGTTCTATTCCTGCGTGCACATAATGTCAAATATCGGTCATCGGCGCTTGTCGTAGCAAATGGCCATCCTTGGCTGAACCTCCTAGATGCCGAATCTGTGGTTTGAAATTGTCTCCAAAGTCTATTAACCACAGAAGGACTCACATTTAGCCATCTGGCCACTTCTGTTTGACTTTGTCCTGCGTCTAGTCTCCCAATGGCTCTCCATCACAGTTCTGCAGGCAAATGATGCCTGGAGGTCATTGTTACGGATTGGCTATCTCAGATTTCTGATTTCACTGTCACAGTAAAATATGTGGACTTGCTCTCAAACATGGACTTTTATGCTCCTCGCAGATCACATATTCCGAAAGCAGCACCACTAATTCGCATATCGCAGCTTTACTCAGCTGCTCTTACTTGGCAACATATTCAAAGATTACACGGTTTGGCTTATTTTTGAGGGAGTTTTAGCTATTTTTGTGAGTTTTCCTTAATTTATGATAACCAGTGTAACAAAAATATGAAAAAATATCTGAAAGGCTTCAGGTTTAACGATCGCTCTAAAGGAGGGGTCTTCAACCTTTCACGTCCGAGAGCCACATCAATAAATTCACAAAGATCCGCGGGCCATTTGTCTGTCAAAAAAAATAGTGTAGTCAGAAAATGTATATAAAAAAGGGAGGTTTGTTTCGCAAGACTACAATTGATTCTAAGCGAAGAGATAGTGTTATAGATTTATATACACTGTTTCCAAAAAGTCAACTGGAAATTGAATTATTTATTTATTTATTTATTTTTTTAACTATGAAAAAAATATAAAGATGATTGTACAGAACGATGTTACAAAATGCATTTGAAATAATAAAAAAGGAAAAAAAAAACTTACATTACTGGCAGGAGATGGTAGTTACTTTAGTTTTAATGGGAATTTGACATTGTTTTTGCTTGATTAAAGCTTCAATATAGGGTTAAATCTGTGTTGTTGCAATTCGTAAAGCTTCCTCCAAATGTTTGTCTGTCAGCCGTGGTTTTGATTTTAGGATTTTCATTTTACAAAAAAGCTGTTCACATATGTAGGTACTGCCAAAGATAGAAGGAATAAAGAGTGCATGTTTACGAATTCCTGAATACTTGTCTTCAGTCACATACTTCGAATAAAAATCAATTAATGTAGGATTTTCCAGAAACTTGCATTTTACTGCAGAATTAGACTGTAAATCTATAAATTCTAATTGAATTTGAGATGGAAGAATATTACATAAGATAAATTACATAATAAAATGTGAAATTTTTGAAAAATTCGTCATTTCCAGAAAATGTTATCTCAAATATCAGGCATGTCAATATAATGTTTTAAATATAAAAAATAAGAGGAATAAAAGTTATTTTACGACAAAAAGCTGACAAGGCAAGTTTTCTTGAAATCAAAATTTCTTAAAATTCTTCAAATTCAAATGTGGGGCCACTAAATTACCTTCTGCGGGCCACGTGTTGAAGACCCCTACTCTAAAGGGTTCTTTTAAAATTTAATATGGTTTATCAGCACAGATTATCGATAGAGGTGGCCTTGGTGGAATAGCGAAACATTTTGTAAGATATTAGATGAATATGTAATTAGACTAACATGGGAACGTTATTTAGGTTCTATATATTTAAAAAGTGAAAAATTATGTAATGTGATTTTTTAAAAATATTTAATGCTTTTAATTAGCTATATCATTTAGTAAATGCATTTTTACTCGAATCAGTACGACTATAAAGAGAAAATACAATATTCTTAAGAACTACA